GTAAGACGTTGGTGCATTCCGAAGTACCCCTTGTACCTACTCGAAACGTTGTGAGTATTCACCACTCCCATATTTTTGGTTTTTTACGTTTTGGGGTGGAAAAGCATGTCCTAAACTATTTATGATGCAGTAATGTGGCTGTGAACAATTTATGAAGATGGTTTTAAATTTGTTCAATACTTGATAGGTTAAAGAAGACGTGGTGTAAAGAAAAGTCAAAGATGTGCTCTTGGTCAAAATTGAGTATCTCATGACTTTAGATCCATATTCATACACATCGTAATGAGTTAGTGAATGAGATCAAAATCAAATCAATGGAAACTGTTCTTGATAAAAAGAACATTTTGATAGTCTTTTATTTATGTTTTGAAGCAACAGATGATGGTAGCAACATAAAAGTATATGAAACTGAAGTTTGGGTGCAGCATTGGAATAACTTGAAGAAGATGCAAGAATTTAAGGCTTTTGATGATCCAAATGTCTAGAAGTTAGTAGGCGTTAATTTGATAAAAGTGCTCATTAATGAAGTTGTAGTTGGTTTTTGTAAACAATTACAATTTCAATATGAAATGTCTAGAAGTTAATTGGTGTGTTATTGATTTGTTTTGTTATTTAAGGCATTTTGATGAGCATGGGTATTTTGGGTATAAAAATATTATGTGTGTTTGGTTTTAAATGTTGAATCAAATTTTATATGTGGAATGGTTTTTGAGAGAATAACCTTTTTTGTGTTTTACTTGAGCCATTAACCCAATTAATTATTACAAAAAATGTTTTTGAGGGTAATATAGTCATTTTGTATAGTCAGATAGATGAAAAATCAAACAACAAGTTTCAGTGAGAAGTTAACTTCAGAGTTTCTAATCCAGTCAGCTTCTAACCAAGTTAACTCTAACAACAAGTAGCTATCAAACAACCCTCGGTCCCCCATTGTAATTAAAGCCTCATATCTCGGTCCTCTCCGTCTCCAGATTTTTAGCTCTACCTCTCAACGCCTTTCTCCTGTATAATTGGCTTCCTCCTGCCCTGACTTTCACCATTGTTCCCCACTGGCTCCGTTTCTATGAAATCGCCTCTGGCTCCCTCAATAATTAAATCTCTCCCTTCCTTCTCTCTATTTCATCCTCCCGCACCATCATTTTACATTTCAAAAATTGAAATAGAAGTTCTCATTCTCTCTAAATCCTCTCCAGAAACCCTAAGCCAGCATACCATCCACCTCAAAGCCGCCATCACTCTCCTTTAACTTTACCTCCAGGTCTCTCTTATCAGATGGATGAAGATGGTCATCCGTGCAACTCACTCGACTCAAAAGAGGTAAAACTGCTTTATTATCTCTTTTTATTTATGTGTTTGGTGCTTCGAATGGAATGGATACTAATCGTAAACCCCGCTATTGACCTGACCAAAATCTAGATCTGACCAATATCGACCTAACACCGTCGTCCCCCCACAATAACCCTCTCTATTTCTTTCTAATAGCACCGCACGACACCTATATCCACAAACAGACCACCATACTCTCTCTATGTCTATGCACAAGGACCTCTGCACTTTACTTTTCTCTCTAAACCTTCTTTCTAAAAAAACGTAATCTAACACAGCATCATCGACGCTCTTCCCTCCTTCTCTCTAGAGCCACGAACTCTGACAACAATGTAAGATTTGGGTTTGATTTTGTTTTCATTTGTTATTTTGTCTAATATCATGAATGGCTTTTGGTAAGGCTAGCCCAGGCGGAAGATCCGACAACGAATTGTCCTCTCTTTCACTCACTGTCAAGGTAACCCTTCTCTCTGTTTTCATTTGTTTGTTCACAATTATTTTTTTGGCTCTCACAAATGGATCCCTTTCAAAAGTTTGATAATCAGTTCCTTTTTTGGTATTGTTTGATGTATACTTCAATTAGTCTAGAATAGCCTGACAAGCTCCTAACTTAAGAATTTTGTAAATGTAATTTTAGAACTAATTGTTGAAAAATCTCATAGGTCTAATATTCTCATATGTCTAATGTTCTCAAATTCTATTGTGCGATTTCTTTTTTATATGTACTCATATATCAATTATGTGTTCAGGTTGTTTAGTTTTTGTATTACCTATCAATGATATTACCTCTAACTTTCTTTTGTTTCTGAGAGATGATTCATCCATTAAAGGAGTTGTTTCAGACTTTCAATTTAGTTTCAAGATTCAATATAGACAAAACCTCAAAAATGGTCCCTGTGGTTTCCGAAAATATCAAGTTTAGTCCCTAAGTTCAAAAAACCTCACGGATCGTCCCTGTGGTTTCAAAACTTTTAATGTTTAGTCCTTCCGCCTAACTCCGTCAGCTTTCTGCCGTTAAGTGAGGGGCATTTTCGTCATTTCAATACCCAAGGACTATTTATGAGGTTTTCTCTATTAAAAAAAAAAGAAAAAAATATAATTATTTAATTAAAGGGCCCCACCTCTCTTTCTCTCTCTCTCTCACACACTTTTCCTTCCTCGCCTATTCTTCTTCGCCGGAGCTAAAAACAAACAACAGTTCTCTTGTTTCACTTGAAGCAGCTTCCAGCCACCCGATCCTTGTCATTCTCGTTGATTGTTGTGTTTGTTAATGCCTCTGGAAAGGGTGGAGTTAGGTACCGAGTCTAAGTACAAACAACGTTGATGGATTAGGCTGAGGAAAGTTGTTCGCCATCACCCCTTCTTTGACTTGGGCTACTCCGGCAGTGAAACTCGAAGGGAGGGGGCACCTGCAGTCCCCGATCAAAGTAGGGTGTTTGGGGGTTGAGCTTCGACGGGAAAGGTGGAGAGGGGGTTAGATCTGAG